ACAGCCATCATTTACACCATGGCAAAGTGGGTATAAATTGCTTCCCTATCAGAATTTGGCACTTCTTCACCAATGGGATCCTCACTGTCTCCTACAGAGAACAGATTGCAGCTGAATTTTCTGTTGTGATTTTTTAGTTACAGAGTAAACTTAAAAACCCTTTTAAAATATGCACCTCCCTATTTTGGCATCTCATAAGGCAAAACAACTTGGACACCATGGCAAAGTGGGTATAAATTGCTTCCCTATCAGAATTTGGCACTTCTTCACCAATGGGATCCTCACTGTCTCCTACAGAGAACAGATTGCAGCTGAATTTTCTGTTGTGATTTTTTAGTTACAGAGTAAACTTAAAAACCCTTTTAAAATATGCACCTCCCTATTTTGGCATCTCATAAGGCAAAACAACTTGGTTCTAAGAGTTATTATACATTATTTTACTGCAACAAAAATGTGTTAGGTTCTTTAGAGAATACATAGCGATATCTGCCCTGATTACTTCAAAATCAAGTCAGTGTGGAGGAGATGAATGGGATGAAGCCAAAAAGCTAATAAATGAGCAGCCTCTATCATAGGGGTAGCCAAGATACAGCCCTCAGGCCAGACGGGACCATCAAGCCTTTTAATCTGGCCCACCCTGCTGGGATCCTCAGGCAGGGAGCAGCTCCATGCTGCTCAAAGCTGGCTGCACCTTGTGCCTCTCTGCACCGCGTGCCACTGGGGGGAGGAGAGGCTTTGTGTGCTGTCTCTGCCCCCTTCACACTCTCTCATCTTCCATTGGCCAGAACCAGCCAATGGGAGCTGAGAGATTGTACTGGTGGCAGAGGCAGCACAAAAAGCTTTTCCCCCCATCCCACTGGTGTGTGGCACAGAGAGGCACAAGGAGCAGCCAGCTGCTTTGAGCCCTGGGGCTGCAGCAGGTAGGGAACATTCCTGAGGATCCTGCTGGGCTGCTGGCTGGGAGATGCCTAGGTAAGCACCTCCCCAGCCAGAGCCTGCCTCTGGCACCCCCCCCCCTCCCACACCCCCAATTCTCTGTCCCAGGTCACAACCCTCTGCACCCCCTGTCCCACAGGTCACAACTCCTTCCCAGATCCTGGACCCCCCCCGGCCAGAATCCTCTTCTGCACCATACCTCCTCCCCAACCCTGCACCCCAATCTCCTCATTCACCCAATTTTTTCCACAGACCCTGCATTCTCTTCTACCCCAATCTCCTACCTCGAGTGCCCTTCAGCACCCAATCTCCGTCCCAGGCCTGGCAACCACTCCATAGAAAAATGCGGCCCTTGACCAGTAACCAGAATCTTGGAGTAGCCCCCCATCAAAAATTATTGCTCATCCCTACACTATCAGCACATGGCTTGAGAGTTCATAGTTTCTTTCATATTACAACTTATTATTTTTGTTAGCACTTCCTAGTTGCAAGGGGCGAGAACCAGAACCAAAAGGCCTAATGAAAGTAGGGGATATTCAGGAATGACGCTGGGAAGCTTCTGAGGCATAGCTGAATAAGGGATTAATGATATGGACAAAGGAGTGGGACAGTACATGTTGGGAAGGAAGGCATGTAGTAAGCCATGCAGTTTGGCTGAAGCAAAGGAAAAAGGGAGGGAGTAAAATGTGTAAACAGCGGACTGGTTGATGGGAGTAGTAGCTCCACTGGAGTTGCTTCCACTCACACCAGAGCTGAAATTAACTCACAATGAAAAAATTTGTGATCTACTTGTCATTGTTATGAGGCAAGCACAGGCCTGATCCCTCTCCTCTTTGCCATTCATTCCTCAGCACATGTAATAACTCTCCCGAAAATGTGTGCATAACTCTGCTTCCTTCCCATTCTCTGTCCAACATGTGCAAACTGGTCAGAGCCAAAGTGCATGGAGGGAGTCAGGGCTGGTCTGCACTACAAAACTAGGTAGGTTTAATTATGTCACTTGGGTGCTATGAAAATTTTTATACCCTAGGCCACTTCCTCCAAACTCTTGCACCTTCTTGGCCTTGTGTCAAGGGCACAGCCTGAAGGTAACAGACTTAAGCTTCTCTTCAGCTCCCTAGAGAGAAACCCAGGTGTACATTTATATCAAGCGTGCCAAGTTGTAGTCCTTTTTCCGGTTCCTCCAAAGCCTTGTCCTTAGGTTCTAGCTGCACTTTTCCCCATGCCTCATTTACACTAGGGATGTTAAAATGTGTTTATTTAGGTAAATCGTTGAAAAATTCAGCAGTTACAAATCTACATTTGGCCGGGGGGGGAGGGGGGATCCTGCAGAGCTGCCTACACCTCTTCCCCACTGCTGCCTCTGTATCCCTCTCCTTCTTTTGCCATTCATTTCTCAGCAGATGTAATAACTATTCCTGAAAAGGTGTGCATAACCCTGCTTCCTTCCCATTTTCTGTCCAGCATGTGCAAACCTTTCAGTGCCAAAGTGCATGGAGAGAGTCAGGGCTGTATCAGAGCAGCCGTGGAAGGGGTGGGGAGTGGGAGTGGAGGGAAAGATGGAAATACGAACGAGCTCCTGCCTGTCTCCCCATGTATCAGCTCTCATCTGGTGCACCCCCCATGCTGTTGCCTCTGATACAGTGGCAGCAGTGGGGGATGAGGAGGCAGTTTGGAGGGAGGGGATAAAGAGGCAGAAAGTGGGGGGGGGGAGGAGGTTGCATGTACCGTGAATGTTATCCGATGGGTCCAGGCTCACATGTTTACACTTTCACATCCCTAATTTACGCATACCCCATTCAAGACCCCAGGAAGTCATGAGACTGCCTCATCACCTCTTCCTGGCATTGGCCACATCCCCCAGATCAGGAAGAGGATGCTAGATGGGGTGGTGCTTTGCGAGTGTGAGGCCTATTTCCACTTCTCCATTAGCTCATGTCTCCAGGTAAAATTCCTCCGGGCTGCCTAGACACCTTCAAGGAGCAGTGGGCGCTGTCTGGGGTTCTCTGCTAGGTGTCCCCCTCTAGCATCCTGTTTTTGACCCTGGAACTTTACAGTGTTCCCTGTAAGCTGTGCGTTTGTGTGGCCACACCAGCGATTCAAAGGCTGCCCAGCTGATTAGCAGAGCACCCACAGCTAGTTTTTTTGTTTCTACTAGTGGTGCACATTCATACGTCTCGGTGCACATAAAAACATTTATTCTGCACACGGATGGAAAAAATCTGCACATGGATGACCCTATTTTCTTATTTGTTGTCCCCCACATTCACTGGAGTTCTGGGTCTAGTGGTTCCTCCTCTTAGGCTAACGGAGGGGCCTAGGAGCAAGCAGCCAGGTGAGAGGGAGTCCACACCAGCCAGCTATATCTTGGACAGCAGCACTATCCCATCCTCCAGCCATGAAATTGTCTGCCATCCTCCTAAAACAGGATTTCTCAAATGGGATCACAAGATGGTGATGCGGGGGTTGCGATCTGTCAGGTGTATTGAACTGACCATCCCCATTAAATGAGACCCTCCATTTTTAATTTATGTGGGGGGGAGATGTCAAACTCTGAGATTTGCTCTGTGAGACAGGTCACCAATCCAAACGTTTGGAAACAAGAGTACTAAAAATTGAGGGACCTGTAAATTGGTTTTAATATTGCCAGTTCTCACAATGGCACCACAATTATCAGGATATTTGGAGTATTTCTTAAACCTCCAGCTTGCAGAGTCACAGAACCAGACAAGAATCTCAGCTTTCTTTTAAAAACAAGTGTCTAGCCTTCATGGTTGCAGAGAAAAACTTGGGAACGTGACCTGAAGGCTCTAAAAGCAGCAGGCAAAGAAAAAGAACCCAGCATGGATTATTGTTTTTAAATCTTATGATTTGTAAACCAATCTCGGAAGGAATTATGGTGCCTGGTGCTGCTTGGCCCACGCCTGTCAGGTTTTTGCAGACCCGGAAAGCCAGTCCTGGGTGAGTGGCTGGAGGGGGTCTGGGCAGAGATTGAAGAACACAAACTTTTGGTTTGTTTTTATAAAGCAGACTCCGGCTCTCAGTTCCCAGAGAGCAGCTGCCGGCCTTTGGGAGGCTCTTCACAAGAGGGGGGCTGGGATACTGCCTCTCTCCAATGACAGCCGAGCTCCTGCGGTAGCTTTCCAGGCCCCTCCAAGAACAGAGCGAGCATCAAAGGCCCGTGCGTGAGGGGGCGCCCACAGCAGGCTTTGCCACTACCAACATGGCTCCTCTCTCTGGCCACCACCCCCCTTTCCCTTCCTGGGCTGGTTGCTGCTGCTGTCTC